AAAGGAGGAGGCTACAATGCTTGATAAGAAATGTACTCATTATCTTGCCCATGTAATTGTAACCCCTCTGTACAGTATTTTCACAATAAAAAATAAATAAAAATGTTAAAAAAAAGACTTGGTTTTCTTCAAGCACTGTCTGATCAGTGATGACTTGTAGTCATTGTTTTCCGTTTTGTAATTCATATGTAAGTAATTTCCAGTGTTGATAATACAGTCTAGAAAAACTTTGTTTGGCACTTAGTTATACCTTTTATTATACCTTGACATTTTTGCATAAAAACGTTAATATATTCTCAGATATTTTAATTTATATTCCATTGTATACAAATAGTATAGTTAGTTTAATTGAGATCTTTATTTTGTCTATTTCAGAAACTTATTGCTTATGGGCACTTGACTGGCAATGCTCCAGACAGTACAACACCAGGCAAAAAATTAATTGATAGAATTATTGAAACAATATGTGGCTGCTTTCAAGGACCTCAAACGGATGAAGGAGTTCAGTTACAGATAATAAAGGTAATTCATTATGTAATGTGAATTTTTATAATACAATGTATGTACAAATAATACTTTTTAGAATCAGAAGAAACCTTCCAACTTAAAAATAGCACACAAGATGATTACCACATTCCAGTTATAACAGGCTAGTTGGGTTTTTTATTACACCCTATCAAGAAATTTTGTTGTTGAATGCCAAGTATTCATTAAAATAAGCATTAAAAAAAGCATTGGGTCCCTAGAATCTTCCCGAGTTTTTTGGTTTCTGGTGTGGTTTTCATACTTATTTTATTCTTCAAGTTTAGAGTGAGATCCTTAGACTCTACTAAATTTTTTAGTACTGTTTGGCCCCTTATAGCCTGACTTCTCAAGTCATAGATTAATATGTACACTAATTGTCTACCAGCTTTCATGATTCCATTGCACAATCCACTTAAATACTGTTCCAGGTTTGTGCTATAATGAGCCTAGGTGGTTGAATTCTTGCAAGTATAGTTATTAATGTTACTACTATGGTACTGTGCTTATATATCAGTGTAATTTTTAATCCTCTAAAATTATTTACATGTAAAAACATTCCTTCATGTGGTATATAGTCTCCTCTGAGCCTTTCCATTTTATTGATGTGTTTGTTTCACAAGGTATGTTCTAAAAAATGTCCAATTGTTTTGTCCTGTTTGTAATTTCATAGCATTTAGGGTTTAATCAAAATATATTGATTAGATATGTACTCATTAATTCTAACTTTAATAGTATTGTGTAGCATAAAAAGGACAATAGGGATATGTACACTAGTGAATTGGAAGATTCATTTAGGATTATTTAAAATGCTTGGTTCTAAAAGTTTATAAATACATTTCATAGTAATAATAATAGTCTTTTTAATCCTTAAAGTAAGAAAAATTTGAAGGTGAGATAAAGACACAGTAGTTACTCTCCAAAGTTGATAGATAAAACACATGAGGCATATGTTTTATGTTCAGCTGAGACAGTGTAAATACCATGCATTTTAACAAATTAATATTTATAGTGAAACTTGGCTTGGCATTAGTTAAATGGTGGTCTGGAGTTAAGAGGATTATGTAGAAATTACTTCCAGGATAAAGAAATTATTAAATATTTTAAGACTTGATGACAGATTTGACATATTCAGGGCAGGCAGAAATTCTGTATGTACTACTTGAATGTGATGATTGTTTCTGAAAGCTTTAATTCTAATATCAGTAATATTGAAAATACTCATATTTTTGTCATGAAACTTGTTTTTAAAGGCTTTACTTACTGCAGTAACATCACAACACATAGAAATTCATGAAGGAACTGTACTTCAGGCTGTGAGAACATGTTACAATATCTATCTAGCAAGCAAAAATCTCATCAATCAGACAACAGCCAAAGCTACTCTTACTCAGATGCTAAATGTTATCTTTGCACGTATGGAAAACCAAGCAGTAAGTATTTTTAAAAACGTTATATAGAATACTGCAAGCATCAAAAATAGAAAGGACTTTACAGGAATTATATTGAAATCTTTAGGATGCTTTCTACTTAAACTTCTTACTGTATTGTGTTTTATTTTGTTCAGTTTGTGAAATTTCTTGTCTTCTTTGACTTTGGATAGAAGTATGAAATGAAAGATACTGATGGAAGTCTTTATGAATTGATTTTTTTAAAAAATTTATATGAAGCCTAGATGCAAATGTAGATGCAAGGTGCTATCTCTTATGTAAGATTTCTAATTGGATGAAACCTATCCTTCTTGCTTTTGAATTCCTTATTGTAATAGCAGAAATTATTTCTTCCCAGTTGCAGGAGGCCAAACAAATGGAGAAAGAAAGACATCGGCAACATCATCATCTGTTACAGTCTCCAGTAAGCCATCATCAGCCTGAATCACCTCAACTTAGATATTTGCCACCTCAGACTATTGATCATATATCTCAAGAACATGAAGGGGACCTTGACCCCCACACAAATGATGTGGATAAAAGTCTTCAGGATGACACAGAGCCTGAAAATGGATCTGATATTTCCAGTGCAGAGAATGAGCAGACTGAAGCTGATCAGGCAACTGCAGCTGAAAGTAATCTTGGCAAGGGAATTGGGATGTATTTGTGCTAAGGGAAGTGGGTGGGAGTAGAGAGTTCCTGGTAAAGAATAGTATGATCTAGTGGATAACTTAATGTAATTGTGACCTTTTCATCCTTTAAGTTAAAGTTAATTTCATCCACAGAAGCTCTATTAATGATCTGGTGCACATAGTAGCATCTTAGTATAGTGTATAGTCTTCCTTTGGAGAAGATAATGACTTTCTAAAGAGTCATAAATGTCTTAGCATATTAGGACCTTTAGTTTTCTCCTTAGTTTGATAGCAAACAAGGAATCTACTTACTAAGATGTTTTTAGGAAGTTGTAGGAAATCATTACAAGTTTAGAAAATATTGTGGTCAGAAAATTACTGAAGCTGGTGCTGTGGCTCACAACGGTAATCCTAACTACTTAAGAGATGGAAACCTGGAAGGTTTTAGTTTGAGGCCATCTCACACCAAATTTTTGAGGCTACATCTCAGTAGGAAAAGCTAGGTGTGGTGGTATGCCTGTCATCCTGTCAATGGCAGGAAACATAAATAGCATGATAATCTAGATCAGACTAGGTAAAAAGCAAGAACCTGTCTCAGAAATGAGCAAACCAAAAAGAGCTAGGAGCATTGCTCAAGTGGCAAGGTGCCTGCCTAGCAAGGATAAAGCCCCAAGTTCAAACAGCAGTACTGCCACAAAAGACAAGCAATGAAGCCAGGTATGGTATAATACCTGTTATTCCTGTACTCATGAGACAGAGAGGCAGAAGGATTCCTAGCATGAGGCCATATGGTGCAGAAAGTTACTCAGACTTCAGCTCAACTAACAAGGCAGGTATAGTGGTGTACATTTGTAACCCTAACTGTGTGGAAGGCATGATAGGAGGATGACCATTTGAAGTTGCCTCAAAATTTGACCACTTGAACCACAGCTCCACATCTTGCTTTTTAGTGGTTAATTGGAGATGAGTGTCTCACAGATTTTTCTGTGTAGGCTGGCTTTGAACTGCAATTCTGAGATCCTCAGATCTCAGCCTTCTGAGTAGCTAGGATTACAGGCATGAACAACCAGCGTCCAGTTTATAGATTCTTGTCTTACCAAAATAGTTCTTTTCACTGCATTTTCAAAGGAGCCAACTGAAAGATCTAATCTCTGATAAATCTGACATTTTATTCATCCCTTCATCTATACATTGAGTAAACACTTGTTGAACTTCTGTGTTTTAGTCACTCTATACTAGGAATTATAATTAAAGTGATTGAGTCATTGCTTTTAGTCTGTCCTATCCTCACTGAAGGATCAGGTGAGCATAAATGTGAGAATTTTCCCGGAAATGGCATACAGAGGGTATGTGTGCTGAGGAGAGTTAGGAAAATGCCTTTATATTGAAAAGGATAATGCTTTAGTTGAATCATGGTAGTGGGAGTAAAAATTGGTTCACCAGAAAATTTTGGAAAATTTACAATGTTCCCAAAATGTTGGGAAATTTTCTAAAGTATGATATGGGTGAAGACAAAGGAGTGGGAACATCTAGTGATAGGCACTTCAGCAGGTGTTTATAGAATTAATTCAGAATTATAAGAATTATAATTACCTCTGCCTATACAGATTTTTTTATCCCAATAGGTGAGAACCATCAGTTCATGATTCATACTCTAGTGTGTATCTCACACTTATTAGCTATGTGACTGTGGACAAGTAGTTTCTTTAAACATTCTTAATGTATAATGTATAACAAAGGCTTATTGCTAGTTACTATCATTCTATGTCAGTTAATGCATATGAAAATTTTAAATCACTAGTTATTTTTATGTCATTTTAGATGGGACTCTGCACAGTAATTTTAGCCAACTAGAGCACAGAAATAAAAAGCTTAAAAAGGGATGGCTCATGCCTATAATCCTAGCTACTCAGGAGGACATCTGATATTCACAGTTCAAAGCCAGCTAGGGCAAGAAAGTATGTGGGATTCTTCCATGAATGAGCAAAAAGGCAAAAGTGGATGTGTGGCTCAAATGATAGAAAGAAAAAGCTAAGGGACAGTGAGTAAGCCAAATTTAAGCCACAGAGCAGGCACGTGTGCGCAAACACATACACGCGCGCGTACACACACACACGGAAATTGCTTTTCAAGACCTTTCAGTCTCTGTTACACAGAAGAGTCTAAATGTTACTTTTATTTGCTTGTTTTATGAAATAAGTCTGCTGATATGACAAGCTTCTTTATCAGGTTTCCTTTTGTAATATTCATTGTTTGGTGGCAGACGTAGACTAGGAACACTGGGGAAATTAAGGGAAATTAGCATCCCAAATAGTGGACCTTTTCTTGATGAGTCCTTATCTGGTTTTGAGATGAGTGTAATGCTGGCTTCATAAAATGGACCAAAGACCTCAGTGTAAGACCTGAAACCATGAAACTATTACAGGAAGGAGTAGGAGAAACATTAGGGCTCCTTGGCAAAGGTAGAAAGATTCTGAGTAAAGATCCCAAAGCACAACAAATAAAGATTTGATGGGATTGCATCAAACTTAAGTTTCTGCACAGCAAAAGACATAGCTAATTAGGTTAAAAAAAAAGCCAGTTATAGATCAGACAGGAGTCTAATATCCAGAATATACATAGAACTTTAAAAATTATAACCTCAAAGAACCAACAGCCTATTTAATAAATGGCTAATGACTTAAAGAGAAACTTCTCAGAAGAAAAGTAAAAATGGCCAATAGACACATGAAGATATGCTCTGGCCATAAAGGAAATGCAAATCAAACCAATACTGAGATTATATCTCACGCAAGTTGCCATTATCAAGAAAACAAACATTAATAAATGCTGATGAGGATGCAGCCAAAGGGAACTCTAAATACTGTTGATAGGAATGTAAGCTTGTTCAACTAATCTTGAAAGCAATATGGAAGTTTCTCAAAAACGTAAACATAGAATTTCATTCTTGGACATTTATCTAAAAGATCACAAACCGGGTTACAGTAAAGCTACCTGCATAACCATGCTTATTGCACACTATTCACCATAGCCAAGGTATGGAATTGGCATCCAGATGCCTGAGTGGATCAAGAAAGTGGAATTTTACTCATGCATTAGAAAGGATGATATTGTGCCATTTGTAAAAAAAAAAATGGAAAGATTTGGAAAAGGTGTGTTAAGTGAATTAAGTCAGGACCAGAGAGACGAAGGATGCATGTTTCCCCATATATGTGGAAGCTAGATTTAAACTCATGATAAATATGTTAGGTGGTATGCAAGTGGTTACAGATGTAGTAACTGAAATATAAGAGGTTCATGTGAGAATTCAAATAATGCAATTCCCTAGAAAGGCAAAGTTGAAGCCCAACAAAATAAGCACAAAGAAATGGATACTTAGAAGAGAAAAGGTGGAGTCAAGGGAAAAAAGGGGTAGATGAATGTCAAGAGGGGAAAGTGAAGGGTGAGGAGTGCAGTTAAGAATGCAATGTATATCCTACCAGGAGGAGTGGGTGAGAATGTTGAAAGGGTCGCCATGAATCAGGATACATTCTGTCAATAAACTGCTTTGTTAAATGGCAATTCCTTTGTAAAACTACTTAAAGATAATAATAAAAATGAATAAATGGTAGTCCTTTACAGATGTAGGAAGAAAGAATAGTGGAAATAGAATCGATAATAGCTAATGTACAATCTGATGCTGTTTGGTAGGACAGTGAGTATCAGGACAAGGTCCCCAGATCTAAAAACATTCAAATTGCTACTTTGAAAACTCCCAGTGGAAATCTTGGTTTTTATCTGTAGACACATTATGTTAAGTTCTGTCAGTTTCCTGAGGCTATACAGAAGTTGTAAAGTATGGTTACCTGTTTTGTTTGTTATTCATAAAATTGAAAGATATTTACTTCTTTAAAAAGGTTTTTTTTTTTCTTTTGTGATATTGGAACTTGAGCGCTACCATTTGCCAGGTGCCTCCAGCTCTTTTTGTGTTTAATATTATCAAATAGGTCTCATTTTATTTTTTTGCCCGAGCCAGCCTGGACTGTTATCCTGTTGTAAAAGCAGCTGGAATGACTAGCTGGATACTCTACCATTTGAGTAACACCTCCAATTCTAGTTGTGAAGGTTTATTGTGTAATTGCTTAGTTATATTTTTTTCTTTATGTTTGGAATATTTTACATTTTCAGTAGAAGTTTTCAAAAAATAATGTTCTATTGCATTTTTCCTCTTCTAAAGCATTGTCTAAAAATGATGTATTGTATGACGGAGAAAACCATGACTGTGAAGAAAAGCCACAAGATATTGTACAGAGCATTGTAGAAGAAATGGTAAACATCATTGTTGGAGGTATTATACACTTCATTTGAAATGATTCTGTTTTGTAGGATTCCATCTGACCATGGAAAACTATTATTCATGTAACCAAAAGGGCAAAATTGTACACTTTTTTTTTTAATCAAATTAGAAGTTGTATGTGTGTCTGTCTACAAAAATAGAGTTGTCCTCTAGGGGATACTATCTAAAACTCCATCAGTGGAATCCTAAAACTACCAGGTAGTACCCAACCCTGTGCTTTTACTATACATATATAAAAACTATAGAAGCTATTTCCACCTAAATTAAAGCACTTAACCATGTATTATGGCCATAACATTGGCATTTTGACAGGCTCGAATTTCTTTTGTCCTTTTTCCAAATTCATGCTTATCATTGATCTTAGTAACCTTGGCATATTTTTTTTCTTATTTCCATTAAGTGTAATGCTTTTTACCACCTTTATTTTATTTGTTTTGTTTTTGTTCTTGTTTTTTGTTTTTTTTTGTCTTGTTGGTTGTGGGGCATGAACTTTGGGCCTGGGAGATCCCTTGGCTCATCAGCTCAAGGTTAACGCCCTACCACTTGAGCTACAGCACCACTTCTGGCTTTTTCTGCTTATGTAGTGCTGAGGAATCGAACCCAGGGCCTCATGCATACAAAGCAAGCACTCTACCACTGAGCCACCTTCCCCAGCCCTACCATCTTTATTTTAAAAGATACTTTTGCTTCTGTTAAGAACATCCAAACTACCAGTCTCACTACTTGGGGCCATAATGTATAATGAAAGTTGACTAGCAACTATGTAGGTTGGGAGATTGAATCTCTGGTAACTGAGGCAATTAAAGACTAGGGAGAGTATATACAGTGGTGACACTAAACAAAGGTTTGATACTCAACCCAGGTAGGGTGGAATGGATGGTAAGAAATATTCATCTTGCTACATAGATAGCACCCAATTAAGAACTTAGGCATATTTTTTTTTCTGGAATTTCCCATTTTCAGATTGCAATTACTAGTTGCTAACTAAAACAAGGAAAGGAAAGCAAAGCACAGATAAGAGAGGAGAAATTACCATCCCCCCGTTTTTCTCCAGCTTCAGTTATTTTTTATAAAAATATATAAATACGTTGTGTTATAAATACGTTTGTTAGGAATTTTTATTTTTTTTAATTCTTTTGCCAGTGGTGGCATTTAGACACCAGGCCTTGTAGTTGCTAGGCAGGAACTCTTCCACTAGAACCACGTACTCATCTCTATTCCTTTTGGTATTTTTTTCAAGATAGGGGTACTTCTAGGACTTGAGCTCAGGTGCTATCCCTGAGCTGTTTTTGCTCAAGACTAGTTCTCTACCACTTGAGCCACAGCTGCTATTCCAGCCTTTTGATGGCTAATTGGAGATAAACAGTCTCACAGACTTTCTTGCCTGAGCTGGCTTTGAACCACAATCCTTAGATCTTAACTTCCTGTAAAGCTAGGATTATAGGCATGAGCCATAGGTCCTGGCTTTGTTTTAGGTAATTTTTAAATAAAATCTAGTATTTTATGACCAAGCCAGCCAGGACCTCAATTTTCCTATTTATTTATACTTCCCTTATAGCTGTAGTAATAGGTGGGTACCATAACACTCATCTTTTTCTGCTGAGATTTGGTCTTGAGAACTGTTTGTCTATGAAGCCATAAATTTTGATCCTCCCCGTCTCCACATCTCCAAGTAGCTAGGATTACAATTATTGAGCTACCATACCTGGCTTCACTCGTGTTTTTCATAAATAGCTTTATTTTATTGAGGGTTATCTGAAACAAATACAAAGAGCATCTTCAGTTCATGATCCCTAAACAGGAGTAAGCATAATACCTTGCTACATATACTTTTAGAAGTAGGATTGAATATGTAGTGTGGATCTTGAATAAGAATATTGCTATTTTAGGTACACTAATTCTCATGTAAAACATTTCCTTGTTACAACTCCAGAAGCAAATATGTATCTGATTGCTTTCTCATCTTTTTCATCATTCTTATTTTTATCTAGCATATACTTTTGAAATATATACAATTGCTTATATACAAAAATTAAGATGTACATATGTATGTGAATATGGAATAAATTTGGAATGATTATACGTAGATTAATAAAGTAATAAGTTCCATTAGCAATAACCAGTTAAAATCCTGTTAAAAATTTGGCCAAAATGATCAGGTAGCAGGGAGGGTTATCATATAGGACATGACAGAAGTCTATGAATTTATACAAGTATAAAAGTGGTATTTTCACATGCTGGAAACTACATAGCAGGACTCTTCAGGGAGAAAAATTAGATTTGATATTAGATTAGATATTTCCAATATCCCAAAGTACTGAAGTGCTGTGTATGAGATGTGATGATAAACAGTAGAAAAGGTTATAGAAGTTTGAGATGAACCAACAGAATTATAAATTAAGATGTTGGACCTAATTCTAGACTGAATTAGAGTTTTCAGAATTGAGAAATGCAATTATTACAACTATTCATGAAGAAAAAGTCCTATAGAAAATCAGAACAATAATCTTAAGTCTGAATAGAACATTAACAGTGAAAATGGAACAAACAAACATGAATAGTAAGTGAGATCACAGGTATTGATGAAGAAGATTTTGTAACTTTGAATTAGGTAAAGAGAAAATAATTGTGTCAGAGGCCTTCAAGATTATCACAAGTTTTGTCAATTCACTGAGAAAGCTCACAGAAATCAATATGCAGTTGTACTCCTATTATAGCAAAAAGGTACAGAGCAAAATCATCAATATGAAGAGGTATGAGGAGGAACCTGGTGTTTTTACTTTTGGGAATCCTCTTTATTGAAGTCATGAGGAATACTTTAATTCCTCCTGCATTGTATTGTGAAATGAAAAAAAATCACTACTCAAGAAACGTATTAAAGCCTTCAAGATCAATATTTTTGAGGGGAGTTGTCACATAGCCACCCTTTGCTCAGCATATATTAAAATTTTAGACTCATGGGGAAAAAAAAATCAAACTTGATCAGCAGGTTTTGGGGTTTTTTTTTTTGTTGTTGTTTTCTTCCAGCTCAATGGCTGAAACACATACTTTAATTAGTTTTGGTGGAAGCCTCCCAAAATACAGGATCCTAGGTACAGCCAGATGCCAAAACTGAAAGTAGGTCTTTCAGCTAGGCATCAGTGCTCAGGTCTATAATCCGAGTTATTTAGGAGGCTGAGAGCTGAAGTTTGTGACTTGAGATCCTAACCTAGGCAGGAAAGTCTGTGAGACTCATAAAAGCTGAAAGTGAAGCTGTGGCTCAGTGGTATAGTGCCAGTCTGGAACAAAAAAATCTCAGGGATAGTCTGAGGCCCTGAGTTTAAGTCTCAGGACTGGTACCAGTAAAAAAGAAAGCTTTTTGAAGGATAGGCAATATCAGACCTGCTGTGTTTGCCTCATTTCTTTGTAGATGATATCCCAGTTTTTGAGCCTAAATAGATAATTTACCTGTAGATGATACTGTTGGTGGAATTAAGTGATGTTGGAGAAGTTACTTGGGAAAAAAATATTTACTTGGGAAAAGTAGCATTTATTTTTAGCATACTGAATTTGACCTTTAGTATAAAAGGCTTACAGAACTTACTGAAAAATGTAATGGAAACAGCTAAGACATGTCAAGGCAAGTGCTACAGGTGGGTGTTGTATTAATGTAAGCCCTTAGTACCTGAAAAATCAACTTAAAGGGGGAAAGATTTATTTTGACTCAAACAAGTTTCAGTACATAGTCACTTGCTTCCATTGATTGCACCAGAGTTGTGTTAAGACAGATCATTATGATAGGGACCAAGTTATAGAACAGAACAGCTCACTTCATGATGGATAGGAAGTAGAGATAGGAAGTATTAAGGATAAGGTATTTTTCAACAGCATGCCCCTTTCCAAATAGCAACATTAGGTGGATACCAGGCTTTCAACACTCGAGTCCTTTGAGGCATTTTCTGACTCCCAAAGATTCATGCTCATTTCTCACAATGCAACATGCATGTAGTCCATCTAAATGCCTAAAACAGTTCCAAAATTGTACCAAGTGTGGCTCATATCTATAAACCAAGCTACTTGGGAGGTGGAGATCAAGAAGAGATAGTAGTTTAAAGCGAACTCATGCAAAACATTAATGAGATCCCCATCTCAAAAAAATGTGCCTTGGTCTAATGGTACAAGTCTGTTGTTCCAATTACATAAGAAGTCTTAAGAAGGATCATAATTAATGCCAGCCTCAGGCCAAAAGAAAATAGTGAGACCTTACCTGAAAAACAACCTAAAATGTGGGGATGTCCCTGAAGTAGTAATATCTGCCTGGTGAGTGTGAGATACAGTACTGGCTAAACCCCAATACCTCCAAAACAAAAAGCAGCTCCAACATCACTGCCAATTCCAAAATTCAGGAATGAGGCTTAGAGAGGAAGGATAGGACCATGAAAGACAGAACCTCAGGGGAAAGAAAACAACAACAAAAACCCTTAAATTCTGTAGCTCATATTTACCCCCTGGGGCATTATGTGGGAGAACGTGAGATCCCCAGGGATTGGGCAGCTCTTGCCAGTTGTGATCTCTGGCTGCCTTTTCTTGCTTCCTGTGGCTTTCCACATTCTTAATATCTCACTTCCTGGAATTTCCATTGCATCTTTTGTTTCAGTCTCACAACTTAATGCTTTGCCCTGTCACGTGCTGCCTGCAGGGAAGTGAACCCTGCCACATGGCCTGGCCTCCCAGGCTTTCCCTTTTTTTTTGGTCCAGTTGTGGGGCCTGAACTCTGGGCCTGGGTGCTGTCCCTCAGCTCTTCAGCTCAAGGTGAGCGCTTTACCACTTGAGCCACAGTGCCACTTCCGGCTTTTTTCTTTTTGCTTATGTCGTGCTGAGGAATCAAACCCAGGACCTCAGGCATGCAAGGCAAGCACTCTACCACTGAGCCACCTTCCCAGCCCCCCAGGCTTTCCCTTGAAAGCTTCCTGGGTGGAAGTCTCCACAGCCCTGTTCTTGCATTCTGCATGACTAAAAACCAGCATCACATGGACAGCACCAAGGCCTGTTGCCAGCTTGAGCATTAGCCAGGTACCTTCAGACTATGGCTGCAGTGCCTTCTAAGTACCTGGAGGGCTGTGCATGTGCAGACACTTAGACAGCCTCTGTCAGTAGGGCTCCCAGAATTGTCTTCCTAAAGCAGAGTTTTTCAAATGAATTACTCCCTTATACACTTGAGCCAGCAGGTGCCTGCATGGCATCTATCCTGCTATCCTAGTGCAAAGTTGACCTCTTTAGCTACCACCTTCCTTATTTCTGATTTTCATGTGCTTCTTTTCTAGCCAAACTTCCAAGTTTTCAAACTCTTATACTCTTGGGTTTTGTTGTTGTTTTGTTTTTTGTTTTTGCTTACAATTCTTACCATATACCTAGCTTGAAATCAGGGCCTTGCACTCTCACTTGGCTTTTTCACTCAAGACTATGCTCTATCAGTTGAGCCACAGTTCTACTTCTACTGTTACTTCTACTTAATTGGAGACAAGGGGCTCATAAAGACTTTTCTGCCTGGGTTATGATCATCAGATCTGTTGCCTGAGCAGCTAGGATTAGAGATGGGAGCCACAAGCACTCAGCTTATATTTTACCTGTTGATGATCTTTTTCATGTAATACTTGTTAATTGCAAAATATTCTTTGGAATTATCCAGCTTAATCTATTGAAGAATGTTCCAGCTGAAGGAGCAGAAAACAATTTTGACATAGAGAAGCCAGAGCTTCTATACCTTTCCTATTACTTGAGTTACTTAGAAGTTGAAGACATGTTATCAATTAATAACAAAATCAGTAATAATCACTATTTATATATCTTTTATGTATGCTCTAGTGGTTCCTTGTAAATTTTATTTTTTTCTGTTTCTTATGAAGAAATTGAGAAAAAGATGAAATAACTTGAGTTAAATGGAAGAGATATTATAGGAGCACAAATATATTCCAGAATGTTTTTATAGTTTAGTATGTTTCCTTCAAACTAGTTTATCGTTTCTTTCAATTAATAGTATGAAAGGAGCAATTTCTTGGCAGATAGCTACTGAATTTCAGCTATGGGCATATATTATATGTTGCTCTTTACTTTTGTTAACTAATTTACAATATATACAGAGTGGTTTTGGAACTTAATGTTTTTTGTATTGTCTGTGTTCTTCTAGAAGTTATTTGTTTATGTTCATATTAATTTCAAGTATGATTACTCAGTGATCTAATGAAAACTTTTTGTGATAGTACAAAGACTAGGTATTCTAAAAAGGGAGGGCCTTGTGGTAAAAAAAAAATTGGGGGAGTACTGCATATGATATACTTCCTTTGGAAAACCTCATACACATAAGCAACTTAAAGACTATAACAATAACAATTTAAAAAACCCTTCCTTCATATTAAAAAACCTTTTTCCCAACATTTCCAAAACTATGGAATGTTCATTTTTGCAAGGAATTTCTCTTAACATATGAAGGCATTAGTGTTAATTGTTTATATAAATTAAAAAGCAAGTTTCTAAGCTTCTGCTTTGGCACATCTGTAGTAGCCTCTCATCAGCTGAGTTTATTACCAGAGCAATGTAAAGTTTATATTTGAAAGCATTCCAGATGTATATTTCCTTAATAGTAAATACGCTAACCTTCAAATGGTGCCAATATATATTTTGCTTCATTTTGTTTTTCTGCCACTGTTTGGTATTACATATGCTATGTTTTTTTAAAGAAGCTTTGCTTAAGTCAGATATGTGCATGTTTTTTATTCTTATCATTTTAGAGATGGGAGAAGGGACTACTATAAATGCAAATACAGATGGCAACATTGGAGCTATAGAGGATGGTAGTGACAGTGAGAATATTCAAGCAAATGGAATACCAGGAACACCAATTTCTGTTGCATATACACCATCCTTACCTGATGACAGATTGTCTGTCTCTTCCAATGATACTCAGGTATAAATGGGGTGAAGGAGAGGAAAGCAAAATTTGTAGTCTACCAAAACCTTGGAATAAATCTTCCCAGTTAAAGATATTTCAGTTTGAGGAAATAGAAAGTTTGGGTTATTTTTTCCCCTCATTGATATTAGAACAGTTTATTTCCTTCATATGCTGATGCATATATTTCTAACTAAGCTGTGTTATCTATGTCCATATCTTTCTACCTTCCTACCTTCCACTGAAATTATATTTTAAAAAAGCATTCTTTTTACATACTCACAAAACAGTTGCAGTATGATTGGGTAAGAAATATTTTAGCAATCTATGGAATCTTCATCTTAGCCATTGTTCATAGAGACAAAGAAATCAGTACCGTAGTAGTAACAAACTTCTCTGAAACTTGCTCTACTGTAACTCATTTCTTTATATTCAGGAGTAGATTCTCTTGACCTTCTTAGCAGTTTTAACTTTTGACTTTTAAACATTGTTATCTATCTCTACAATTGCCTTATTTCAACTCAGAGTAAATAAAAAATAGAATAAAGCAAAAGTAAAAAACACAAACAGATTTAAAGATAGATTTAATATATTTAAAGCCTTTGTATAGGTATTTTTCTCAGGGCACAATGTGCTAGTTATTTGTCAGTAATTTGAATTAGATAAATTTAAGAGTGATGGCAAATAAAATATTTTAAAAGAATATTTTTACAGGTATTAATTTCTTGTTGGGTATGAGAACAGCATATCAAAGGTGGGATTACTTACCTGCTAGTGAATTGAATTGAATAAAATAGTTTGAAAGGCTGAAATATTTTATCTTGGCAAATGTCTTTGTTGTTTAGGAATCCGGAAATTCTTCAGGACCTTCACCTGGTGCTAAGTTTTCCCACATTTTACAAAAGGATGCCTTTCTAGTATTCAGGTCATTGTGTAAACTGTCAATGAAACCACTGTCAGATGGACCACCAGATCCAAAGTAAGTCATTAGCTTCTTTATTTGACAAATAGAAGTTTTAAAGCTTGAAATATACCATTATAATGGTGTTTATGAAGGTGTTTGGGTTTAGGTTTGTCTAGTGGAACCTTAAGTTTTGGGGAGGAAGAATATTTTACTTAAATATATTGGATAAAATTATATTTATTGAAATGAACTCCCAAGAAATGGAAATAGAATTTTTTTCCCCTTTGTTGCTGTTTATTTGACTTCGGGAGAATGGGGAGGACATCACAAAGGAGAAGACGAAGGTTGAAAAAATGCATTAGTGATACTCACTTGACACTATGTTGAAAATGAACTATAAATGCGGATGGGAGGGAAAAACTGGGAAAGAACGAGGTAAGAGGTAACACTGTTCGAAGGAAATGTACTCATTACCTGACTTTTGTAACTAACCCTTCTGTACATCCATCACCTTTACAATAACAATAAACATACATTGGAAAAAAGTTTAAAGTTTTAAAGCCACCTTATATTATTTCACAAAGGTAGGATTTCAATATAGAATAGTACTTAGTGCATACTAGGTGCTGTGTAAATATTTTATGACTAAATTCTTATTGCTGTGTTGTAATTAGAAGTCAGTGTAGCTTTTTCTCAGCTTCATGGTAGGTGTCTTAAAAGTTCTAATGAAAGACAATGTCTGATAAGTCTTTGTATGACAAAGGGAGGAAATTCTGTGTGTGTGTGTGTGTGTGTGTGTGTGTGTGTGTGTGTGTGTGTGTGTGTGTGTGTGTGTGTGTGTGTGTGTGTGTGTGTGTGTGTGTCTTTGTATGACAAAGGGAGGAAATTCTCCGTGTGTGTGTGTGTCTTACATTGAGGGCTTAGGTGCTGTCACTGAGGTTTTTGCTGAGGTTTAGCACTCTGCCACTTGAGCCACAGCTCTACTTCAGGCTTTTTTTGGTAGTCAATTGGAAGTAAAAGTTTCACAGACTTTCCTACTCTGGCTGACTTTTCTTCAGATCTTAGCTTCCTGAGTAGCTAGGATTACAGGCATGAGCCTCCAGTACCTGGCAAGAGGAAATTCTTTTGAGAGAGGAGTGACTTGTGTAATTCCCATCAACTACATTATTCTAAATTCTAGGAAAGTACTATTTTTTAGAAGTCATAAATAGTCAGATTTTTCATATGCTTGAAGTTCAAGTAATTTCTGCTTGCAGTTGATATTAAGAGTTTTAAAAATGGCTTGCTATTATGTAGCAGAATATATTGCAACTTGATAGTTTAAGAAATTTCTGAAAAAAATCTTTTGGAAGAGCCAGGCTTGTAGTGCACATTTTAATTCCAACTACTGGGGAGACGAATACCTGTTTGAGGCCCACCAGATAGAAGTGCAAGATCCTACCTGCAAAGCAACTAAAAGCAGGTATTGCTCAAGTAGTGTTCAAGTAATAGAGCACTTGCAAGACTCTTGGAGGAAGAAAGAATAAAAGATTAAAGTGTGTGTGTAATTTATCTTTAACTATTTAAATTATCTTTAAGTAGTTGTACAAAAGAGTTGCCATTCAACAAAGCAGTTTTTGAATACAATATATCTTGATCAATGTCACCCCTTTTAATATTCTCACCCATTCCTCCTAACCCACTACTTTCCTTGCTTTTCTTTTGTTATTGGTGGTGGTGGTGGTGGTGGTGGTGGTGGTGGTGGTCTTGGGGCTTGAATTCAAGGCCTGAGCTTCTTAGCTCAAGGCTAGCACTCTACCATTAGAGCCACAGCTCCACTTCTGGTTTTCTGGTGGTTAATTGGAGATAACAGTTAAATGAACTTGACTGCTTGGGCTGGCTTTAAACAGCAGTCCTCACATCTCAGCTTCCTTTGTAAGCTACCTCTTTCCTCGCTTTTCTTAATTTTGTAGGATATACATTGAATTCTTGATTGCAGATTAAATGCTATTTATTAAGAGTATTGAGATAGGGACAAAATGTAAGCAGTTCTACTTTAATTACAAAAAAATCAACTTCTCCTGTTTTAATTGCTAAGTGCTAATTAAGGAGACTAAAGATAATCACAACAAAAATTCTGAGTTTTGCAGACCACATCATAGTTTCTATGGGTTTACTTTGTCACATTATTTTGGTTTAGGGAAAACTTTTTTTTTAGGTACAGAAGTAGAAGATTCTAAAATTTTTTTCTGGATCAAATCCTGAGAGTCAGAAATGCATGTTATTTTCTGCATTTTGAAAATGCGAAAAATAGGGTAAAATAATTTTTTTCATTCAAAACGTGACAATTTTAGCTTTGCATGGTTCTGCACTGCCTGTGATCCCAGCACTGGAGGTAGAGGCAATAGGATTATGAATCCTGTGCCAGCCTGTTCTCCATAGTGAGACACTATTAAAAAAAAAAGAAGATAATTTTGATCTCTTAATTCTGATTTGACAAAGACCTATGTTAAGAAATAAAGAATGGGAATGTTGCTTAGTGGTGCAGTGCTTGTCTAGCATGCATGAAACCCTGGGTTTGATTCCTCAAAAAGTTGGAAGTGGTGCTGTGACTCAAGTGAAACAGAGGGACCAGGGGGAGGAAAGAAGGGAAGGAAGGAAGAGAGGCAGGGAGGAAAGGAGGGAGAAAAAGAAGGAAAAGAAAGAAAAGAACAAACTTAGGAATTTTGTATTACTAAAACTCATGTCTGCCATTATTTAAAAATTGTGATTGGCCAGGTGCTGGTGGCTCAAGCCTGTAACCCTAAGCTACTCAGGAGGCTGAGATCTGAGGATCAAGGTTCAAAGCCAGCTCAGGCAGGAAAGTCTGTGAGACTCTTATCTCCAGAGTACCGGAAGTGGAGTTGTGGCTCAAGAGGTAGAGCATTAGCCTTGAGCTGAAGAGCTGAGGGACAGTGCCCAGGCCCAGAGTTTAATACCCATGGCGGACAAAAAAAAAAAAGAAAAAATTGCGATTGAAATTGAAAGAAATTAAGGGCTCTGTCTTAGAACCTATACCAAAGATAAGGTATAATTTTTTTTTTATCTTGAATTTTTATTTTGTCAAAAGTTCAGTGAACTTTTGTGGTTAGATAATATTCGTTTTTGTCTTTTCTGGCTTTTGCTAAAATGATGACCTAGGAAGTGTGATCCTTTCTTCACTTGTTAATTCTTTGTACATAATAGTTATTTAAATGCTTAAACACAAAAATAGCCTTTGGAGCACTTTTGCGTACAATGTAAATCCCAGGGATATAAAGGTAACAAGCACAGTGCCTAATTTCTAAGGTAACTGAGTAAAATAGATGATTATGTGAAGCGCATCTGGTGGAAGCAGCATTTGTGTGAGCCTTGGAACACTAGAAAATAAAGACTGGAACTTAAATACCTGCATTTTCTGATAGCTACTTAAATTCTTACCTGTTGCTATTTTACCTACAATTTTTTGTACTGATATATTTGTTGCACATAATTCTAGACTCAGAATAATAGCTATCTTGGAAATATGACTGTGTAATAAGAAGCCATGATACCATAGGCTCTATTTTATATTTTTGGCAGTACTCTACTGGGTTTGAATTCAGGTCTTTGTACTTTCCAGGCAGACACTCTATACTTCTAGCTCGTTTTACGCTGGTTATTTTTGAGCTAGGGTCTCACTTTTGCCCTTATAGTCTAGACCACAGTCCCCCATATACGCTTTCACCATTGCTGGGATGACAGGTACATACCATAATGCCCAGCCTTTTCTGTTGAGATGAGATCACATAAACTTTTTGCCTAGTTGGCCTTGAACCTTCATGTTCCTACTCAAACAAGGTGGTATTTTTCTTGTGATACAGTTTATATAAAGTTAAGTATTCCTGTTAAATACGTTTAAACAAAATTTTATGATGGAAATCTTAATATTTAATATTCTAGGTAAATATGACTACATACAGCATTTGGAATAAGATTTTTGAAATTGCTAGAGCATTAAAGTGTGGTTTGTTTTTGAAATGTTCCTTGGGACCAAAGGAGTGTTTGGACATAAGAGAACTATTTTGATAGGAAAGTTTGTGTTTGTGAAATTTAAAATATATTGATCAAGAAAAAAATTCAAATTATAAGCCAGTATTTTTCAGCTTTTCATTACAAAGATGTTTAGAATAAGTGGCTCCAGCTATTAAGATATTTGGTGGTGGTGGGGAGGGTTGGGAGGTGAGGATCAGCTATAGGGCTTGAACTCAGGGCCTGGGAGCCATTCTTTAGCTTTTTTGCTCAAAGCTAATGTTCTACCACTGTGAGCCACAGCTTCACTTTGTTTCCAAGTAGATAAGTGGAAATAAGACTTTCCTGCCTGGGCTGGCTTTGAATCACAATGCTCAGGTCTCAGCCTCCGGTGTACGTAAGATTACATGTATAAACCACCAGTGCCCACCCAAGAGACAGTTTTTAAATGTTCTAAAAGCCTATATGTTTATTTCAAAAGAGCAAACACCTTCAAGTGGTTATTTAAAAAGTAAGTTTGGACTAATAATATTAATGCAACCAAAACTTTTTATTGATTATGAGGAATTTTGAGTAGTGTAACTAGTAAAAATATATTGGAATTCATATATGCTAAACATGATACTTGGTCTGAGAAAGGTTACAGTGATTTCTAAGGAGAAATATAGAGGTGAAAAAACAAAAACAAGGCATAAATACACAAGTTACTCTAGTGAAACAGAAGGCTGATATTAAGTATTTGTGAGAGATGTTTTTTCTCATTTATATTGTGAGAGATGTTTTTTCTCATTTATAAAGTCTGAAATTATGTGGTACAAGGAAGTATATCCATGGTTAGTAGCTTGTTCTTCTTCATATTGTAGAGTTTTTTTCTTCCTCTATATTATAGAAGTTTGTGAAATTATGTGGTACCAGGAAGTACCTTTGATCAGTCTGTTACTATCATAATGGTAAACTTGTCCATATATTCAGTTTCTTTTTCTATATTTCAGGTCTCATGAGTTACGCTCCAAGATTCTTTCATTGCAATTACTTCTGTCCATTCTGCAGAATGCAGGACCTGTTTTTAGAACAAATGAAATGTTTATTAATGCTATTAAGCAGTATCTTTGTGTTGCACTCTCAAAAAATGGAGTCTCATCTGTTCCAGAAGTTTTTGAGCTTTCTCTTTCCATATTTCTTACTTTGTTGTCAAACTTCAAGACACATCTGAAGATGCAAATTGAGGTCTGTTCCATATTTAGACATTAAAGTTTATTTTTATTGGTTATTTCATTTGTTTTATCACAGATTAATAACATGCTAGAAACTGTCCATAATTCATAATAATATTTGTATGCTGTCATGTATTTGTATACACACATATATGCTTACATTTATTATTTCTAAAGTATTCTTCCAAGATTTTTAAAAACAGTAACATTTTTTGTGGTTTTAAAATGTATTGGGAGATTTATAAAGCTAAACTGAAGAATCTTCCAACCATGTTGGAACATATGTGGGCATATCAGTTCCTAAGATCTTTTTTTCAAATAACTCTGTATTTGAAATTAGAACTTCATATTTTATAGTTTAAATGAGTCTTTTTTTGTTGTTGTTGTTCTGTGTGTTTTGACTTTGTTGTTAATTTAGCAGTTCAAACCAAAGTTTGAACCTAAAGCCTCACTCTTGCTTACCTTGCTTGTTTGATTGGTATACTACCACTGGAGCCACCCTTCCAGCCTAGCTTTTTGGTAGTTGATTGCAGATAAGGAATCTCACTTTTTTGCCGGGGCTAGTTTTGAACTGAGATTCTCAGTTATCAACCTCCTTGAGAACCAAGGTTTAAGCACCCAGCATGTAGTAAAAGACTTTCAGTGTAATATGATACAGCAGCTAAACAATAGACCTTTGGCATTCACTGTTTTTTTGTTTCAAGAATACTGCTGTTGAGTAAAAATATGAAAAAATTCAAGATGCATAGAGTTCAGTGCTGTGCTGTAGGTGCTTGATTCATTTTTTTCCCCTCACACTATTCAACTTGTGCCAAAGACATGCCCCATGCAGCAAGTTTAAAATGTTTAACATGTAAGCACATTATCTTTAATCTTTCCTTTGGGATACCATTTGCTTCTTCAGAGGCAGATTTCATAAAGGACAAGGAAACACCTTTGATTGAAACAATAAAAATGAAGGACTGAATGAGCCCTTCTGTAATCCTCTGAGACATACAACACATACATGAGAATTCCAAATTTTTTCAAAATTTCTAATTTTTTGAAATTATTTTTCTGAATCACACTTGGTCAAAACATTTGTAATGAATCAAAAAATACTTTGGGCTTACTGTGTTTTCTACATCATTTTTCTTTCTCCTCAGCTCTCCAATCTGTATTGTATATTATTCTGTAAATTAGAGAGTTCCAGAGTTCCTTTATTTACAACACTATTACTATCTTTTTATGGTACACTTAGAAAGAAATATGTAACTTTTATTTTTTAGAGTTGGGGCCAAACAATAAATGTTTTCTTAACTAGTATCCATTAAAAATATTTTACATGGATTAAAGGAAAATATTTTCATTTAATTCTTTCCTAGTAGAATATGTGTGTTAGACATTGTGTCCCATGTCAGCTTACTAGACATTTGACTGAGATTTGACAGTAACACCTGCAATTCCTGTTTTTCATTGGGTTACATGCAGTATTTGTAGCTACTATCGTTATTCAGGTTTGCAAAGATAATGATGTTGTGAAATGAATGTAGCATGGTTTAATTGAAGTTCATCAGTCTTTCTCCATATTGAACAGTTATATTTTCCTTTGATTAATCCGTATAGCACTCCTGTGAGTTTGCTACATCATTCTTGTGTTACTTCCTACAGTGTTGGAAACTGTGGCAACAGGACTATATAAGTATTTGTTGAGCACTTACTTCTGTGCCATGTAGCATGGACACAGTGTTTAGCCAGAAAAACTTGGTGACCCTATCCCTGTAGAACTTTAAGTCCACAAGACACACTTAATGTAAATAAGTAAGTAGAGATGTTTTGAGTTCCATGAAAGCAAAGTACATTATAAGGATACCTGACTCTTGGGAGGAGAAGATGCCAGTTATCTTTTATTACCTATTATTATTCCTAGATTCAGAAAATACAAATTCCACAAAATACTAAGTTCTTGTTTTTCAGTAATTCCTTCCTAAGTCACAGTCACTCTCCAGAATAATTTGAATTAAATTCTCAAAGCATGAGCCTTGAGTAAAAAAAATGAAGAGTATGAGATTCTGATTTCAAGCCATATTACTGGCACTCCTTTGTGTTTGTTAGTATTTGGTATGAAAAATTGTGTGAAATTGTCAGGCAATAAAAATTTTTACTTTGCAATTAGAAAAATATAGCAGCATGTAAGAATTAGATCCTTTTGAAAGTATAAGCTACATTTATATCTAGGAACCTTTAAGCCTGCCCAATATTAGAATGTCTGAAAAATATAATTGATGACAAAGTATTTTAATTCCCAGTTATTTTAATACTGAGAGTAAGAGACAAAACTTAATACAGTTAGACTCTAGAGGACCCTGGTTCCTAAATTATAAGTAGTATTTTAAACAGAAATTTCCTCATAATCATAGGTGTTCTTTAAAGAAATTTTCCTATATATTTTGGAAACTTCGACCAGCTCATTTGATCACAAATGGATGGTTATTCAGACACTGACAAGGATTTGTGCCGGTATGTGGAATTATTATTCTTTATTTTGTCTTACATTGAGATATTTAAAGGCCAAATATGTGTATGTTCTAAATACATATTAACAAAATTAATGTATTATTACAGATGCTCAGAGTGTAGTAGATATTTATGTAAACTATGACTGTGACTTAAATGCAGCAAATATATTTGAAAGACTGGTAAACGATCTATCAAAAATTGCCCAAGGAAGAGGCAGTCAGGAACTTGGTATGAGTAGTGTTCAGGTAAGAACCTTAAAAACATTTTCAAATTTAAAGTTTATCAAAGAAGAGAAGCATTTTCCTTAAAAGATCTAATTTCTATTCTGTTTATGAATTATTTTATAGGAATTGAGCTTGAGGAAAAAAGGTTTAGAATGTTTAGTGTCGATTTTGAAGTGTATGGTGGAATGGAGTAAGGATCAGTATGTGAATCCCAACTCTCAGACAACTCTTGGTAAAGTAACATTTTGAATTCCTAATTCCTCATCATTTTAAATAAATGATCCTTTAAAGGATAGTTGAAAATGCCATTAAAGTAGTATGTCATTTGTTAAGCACCAAATACTTTGTGTTAGAAGTCTAAATAACATTGAAATGCCTTATTTTCTTTTCATATTTTTAAATAGAATACAGTACTGCCTCTTTTATCTGTGATTTCACTTTTCATGTTTTTGGTTACGTGTAATTAACCATGATCTGAAAACACTATTAAATAGAAAATTATATCAGTCAGCAATTCAGTTTGAATAGTAGGATGAAATCTTATAATATCCTTCTCCTTCCTACCTAGGAAATAGGTCATCCTTTTATCCTGTGTATTCATACTGTTTCTGTTACCTGTCACTCTCTTAGTAGCCTTCTTTATTAGATCACATCATGGTAGTAAGGTACTTACGCTAAGGTGATCCTTATTTTACGTAGTAATGACCCCAAAGCGTTAGAGTAGAGATGGTAGAAATAGGGATATGCCAAAGAGAAAGTGTAGAATACAAAGATAAAAGTTTTTTACTTAATAAGGGAACAATACCATATGCTAAAGTTGCTTAGGTCTATGGTACAATAAGATTTGGGGAGCTATGTACTCCCACTGTTTATATTTTTATCTCTTACTATTGTATTTTATCTCTTACCATACTCAAGTTTTAACTTCTCATGGACATATATTATAGGTACAAATATGATAAGTACAGACTTCTGTCCTATTTGTGGCTTTAGGCATCTGCTAGAGATAATCAGGATACTACTCGACCGCTATAACAGGTTTTCTTCTTACAGGTCAGGAAAAACCATCAGAACAAGAGATGAGTGAAATGAAACACCCTGAAACAATAAACAGATATGGAAGTTTAAACTCCCTGGAATCAACATCATCATCAGGAATTGGTAGCTATAGCACACAAATGTCTGGCACTGATAATCCAGAGCAATTTGAAGTCCTGAAGCAACAAAAGGAAATCATAGAACAAGGGATAGATTTGTAAGTGTCAGAGTTTAAGGAGAAATATTACTGACTATCCCTCTGCCAGAAACATGTCACCTCTATCCTGAGTTTTCCTACATTATTATTTTTTTGGGGGGGAGGGGGGCGTGTCAGTCGTGGGTCTTGAACTCTAGACCTGGGCCCTGTCCCTCAGGTAGCACTCTCCCACTTGAGCCACAGCTCCATTTCCAGTTTTCTGGTGGTTTATTGGAGATGAGTCTCATGGACTTGCCTGCTGGGGCTTGCTTTGAACCATGATCCTCAGATCTCAGCCTCCTGAATAGCTAGAATTACAGGAGTGAGCCACTGGCACCCAGCTTCTCATTATTTTTATTGCTTTAAAATTACTATCTTATCTCTCTTAGATCTAAGAATTCTAATTATTCCTTATTTAACTCCCCTTGTTTATTGTAGTGTAGCTCAAACCGGCTCTTAAAATTGTTGTCTAAACATAACATTATATGCTATTGATGAACATTGTGTACTTCTGCATTTTGTAAATTTGGTTCAGTTATGAAAATCCCCTATTATATTTCAGGTGACAGCTTAAAAATTTAAACTTCGAAACTATTAGTAGTTAACATTGGTTTTATATTTTCTCCAACTGTGTTATAATTGTACTAACTACTCTTCTTAGTAATACACTTGTTATTGATTTCATTTTGATATATTAAGATGATTATCTCTTTCTCAGCCTGATTACTGTACTAGACTCTAATCTTGTGAAATCAGTTTTGTTTCTAAGTTTTGTGACATTTGCTTGCTTCTGGGCTATTTCCTATGCTGACAGCTGTTTTGTCATCCTTCTTATTCTGTTTTTTTCCAAAGGTGCAATAAGGAAAAATTTATTTTTTGGCCTCTGATCCTGACTCTAGCTACTGTAAACTATTTAAAGTCTTGTTGTGTGTTTGCCTGTTTTGCTACTTCTGCTTTAGAACATTTCTTTCTGATGATACTTAAGCAATGCCTTTGGGTAACAGTTGAAGTATTTTTTTTTCAGTGCTAAATATGAAAAATGTTGACATATATATATATATATATATATATATATATGTTGTAAGATTGTAAAGTCTTAACAAAGTTGACTCATTAAGTAACCATCAGAACTTCTTTCAAATTGTTCAGTCTGTATAAATCTACATCCTGTCTGTTCTAGATACACAGTTTCTAGGTAAAGTAACTGAATGAAATTACCCTTCCTTTCTCTCTAAGGGGTTTATTGTTTAGTATGTATAAACAATTACACATTTTGAAATTCTGCTAGTCATTCAACAAACACAGATTTGGTACTTGACTATACCAAGCACCATGAAGTCACTGGTCCCTACCTTCAATATTATGGTCTAAATGTGGACAAAATAGTTTTTTTTTTTAATTAGTTCCATGTAAGATCACAAATAGAGACTTGTAGAAAGTGCTGCCAAGAATTTGAAGTACTTGAGGATCAAGAAGCCATCATCACAGGTCTAGTGTTTGAACTCTGTCTTCTGCTTGATAGGCAAGAACTCTACTACTTGAGCTACTTTCTTAGCCCTTTTTTGCTTATTTTTCATATAGAGCTTTGTAGTTCTTGCCCAGTCTGGCCTTGGACCACAGTCCTTCTAAAACTCCTCCATAGTTGAGATCACAGCCATGTATCACTACATCTGGCTTATTGAAACACAATTCTTGCCAACTTTTTGTCCAGACTGACTTCAAATCAACGTCTTTTAGGATTATAAGCCCCTGTGCCTGACCAACTACTTTCTTCAATCAAAGTCTACTTCTAGGGGCTAGAGTTGTACTTCAGTGGTAGAGTGCTTGCTTAGCATTTATGAGGTCCTCAAGACCCAGTGCCATTTTTTTTTTAAGTCTGACTCTGTTTCCCTCTTCTCTTAGAGAATATAGTCAGGGCTTCTTGTGATAACAGACAGTACCATCAAGATTTGTATCTTCTGGAATCATTGTTGCAAAAATCAGAGCTGTTCATCATACTATTCTTTTTTTTTTTTTTTTTAGTTTTGTATAACTTATTCTTTGAAGTCTTTTTTTCTAATGCCTATTAAAAAAAGTTTTTTTCAAAACTAAGTTCCAGCCCAACACCAGTGGATTGGAACTTATTCAAGAAGCTAAGATTCGAGGATTGAGGTTTGGAGTCAGCTGAAGCAGAAAAGTCCCTATCTCCAGTTAATAAGTGGTAGTGCCAGGTTAGATACATAACTCTAGTAGTAGAATGTCTGCTGTGAGCAAAAAAGCTGAGTGAGAGCAAAAGGTCCTGAGATCAAAGTCCTAATACCATAACAGAAAAAAAAAGTTGAGATTTAGCTTCCCTACTCTTCTAGGGAGTGGAGAGGTGTTTATCTCAGTGAAAAGTAATTGAATTAACATGTGGCTGAGGATAAATTAGAATTTAACAAGGGAATCAGTAAGATGGAGTAGGAAAGAATATTCCAGAAAAGAGACTGAAATATTTCCCAGGATGGGCAAAAAAGTGCAAAGCCCTATATGAAAAAATAGGACTGAGGGTTTGGCTCCGGGGTAAACAGGGAGGATTATTTGAGGACTTTATTCAGCAAGGCAGGCAGAATGAAGAATTAACAGGAGGTGAGGTTTGTATTATAGGTCTCATTTCTGCTGTAAATGAGTTTTCATTTTGTTCTTATTGACACTTGTTATAGTTTTTTAGAGGAATGACATCATCAAATTTCTGATTTAGAAAGATGTTTTTGCCAGCGATTCCAAGGGTAGGTTACCATATGAACAAAATGAGATAGGAAGTGTTGGGAAAATTGAGAACGGAAAAGGAATAGGATGGACTCAATTGTCAACAGGCAACGACTGTTTATTGAGGGACAGCGAGGGGCACAGACCTTTCAGTGGGTTTGGAGGTTGTGCAAGGGACTGGATTTTGAGGTGGGCTTATATAGATTTTTACAAGGAAGCAGAGAATAAAAAATGGGCTATGGTCTCTTGGAGGCCATTAGTGATGTCCTTGGCCAGACCCACAGTGGAATGCTGGGATGTGGGGCCTGTTGTCTTTTGAGGGCCAAGGTCAGAATGACCTGCCTGCGGACAAGCATGTGAGCACACACTTGGTGCTTTGCTTGACCCTGGGGAGTAAGGCGAACTTAATCCTTCAAGGAAGAACATGACCTAGGAATTCCACTCCTGGGCATTTATCCAATAGAGCACAAACAAGGAAAGCTACTAGCACAAACCATGTTCACTACAGCATTGTTTACCATAGCCAAGGTATGGAATCAGCCCAGATGCCCCTCAGTGGACAGATGGATCAAGAAAATGTGGAATTCTTTAGATCCACCAGAAAGAATGATATTGTGCTATTTGTAAGGAAATGGAAAGATGTGGAAAAAATTATGTTAAGCGAAATAGCCAGATTTAGAGAAACATAGGTTGCATGTTTTCCCTCATTTGTAGTAGCTAGAATGTGCCTGTAAATCTACAAGTAAACAACTGGGTAGTAAGCAAGGTATTACAGATGAATTAACAAAAGTGTAGTTGACTCTATGGAGAGTGCAAGTAGTATGTATAATCATTTTAAAAGACTAAGTCAAAACTCAACAAAAAATGTCCCAGAAAATTGACACTTGCAAGAGGGGAAGGTGGTGGGAGTAAGGGGCTGGGGATAGAACAGTGAAGGAGGAAGAATGCAGACAAGCATTCATTTTTACACACACACACACACACACATGCACACATGCATGCACGCACGCACGCATGTACATACACACACACCTGGAATTGAGAAATACAAGGAATGGCTCAATAGGGGAATGTTGAAGTGATGACACCAACCAAGATGTACTGTGCACATACTGCTTTGTTAAATGGCATAAAATTCAATTTATAATCTAAAATTAAGTAAGAGGAGTAGGTTGGGAGGGAGTGGGTAAAATGTTGAAAGGGAGGAGTAACTGATCAAGAGACTCTGTATTCATAAATTGCTTTGGTGAATGGCAGCTCCTTTGTATAACTACTTAAAGTAATAAAAATACTTTTAAAAAATCTCCAGTATTAGGTGATAAGATATCCAAATAATAAAAGGTGAGTCTTAAGCTAAGAGGTTCAGTTTTCCTTTTTTTAAAAAAATGTAAGTGGAGCCTGTAAAGGCATGCAAAGGAAGAATCTCCAAGCACATATGTTTAGGGAATTCAAGAGAATATATAAGAATAGACAGGCCTGAGGTGAGTAGGTAAAGATAAATAAGCAATATACTTAGGAAGGTTTTATGTTCTATTCTAATCCATGTCTACAAGTGAACCAAAAATACTTAAGAATTTAGAAAAATACATAGTCAAATGTGAAATACTTAGTATCTATGTCCTTACTCAAAATTAGTTTACTAGGTGGCATTTCCCTAAATCTTGTTGACCACTGTTGCTATAGGAGGAAATAGGACCTACTACCACAAGGGGTCTGTGTAATCCTATCAGTGATAATGATGACCTTCCATTTGTTATTCTGTTCTGTGAAGAAAGATAAAAGAAAACGTTGTCTCATATTTTTATGTATTCACATCTTAGATTAGCTCCTGTTATCTAATTAGTATTAGAAAATTAATTTGCTCTAGTTTAAGATCTTTTTAAGGAATACAAATGACATTCTATGTTCAATATGCTTATTAACTTTTATCACCATCAGATTTAATAAGAAACCAAAGAGAGGAATACAGTACCTCCAAGAACAAGGAATGCTGGGCACTACACCTGAAGATATTGCTCAATTCTTACATCAAGAGGAAAGATTAGACTCTGTAAGTATATTATTTCATTTTATTCTGAACTTTTCTGGAGAATTACTTTTAAAGTTAATAATACTATGCTTCCTTTAAAATGGTTCCTTAAATATGGAGAACATTAAAAGCTAAAGAATAACAAGGGTACTGTATGATATATATGTAGACATATATATATATATACACTATATATACATATATATATATATATACACACATGTATGTGTGTGTATGTACTAAAATTCATTAGTACTAATAAATTTCGCTTTCTAAAATATTTTAAGTTAGAATATTTTGATTTTTTTAAACATCACATTTGCCTTTGACTTTATGTTCGACATTAACTCTGTAATCAAAAACTTTTGTATTATAACATTTTTTTGCTTTTTAAATGCCTGTGTGGTAATGTAATGTGCCATTAGAATATCAATTTTTATATTTTATGTTTAGACTCAAGTGGGTGAGTTTCTGGGAGACAATGACAAATTTAATAAGGAAGTCATGTATGCATATGTGGATCAACATGACTTTTCAGGAAAAGACTTTGTTTCCGCCCTTCGAATGTTTCTGGAAGGATTCCGTCTTCCAGGGGAAGCTCAAAAAATTGATCGATTAATGGAAAAATTTGCTGCAAGATACCTAGAATGCAACCAAGGGTAAGTAGGGGTGAGGTACTGCTTGATTGTCAACTACATTCTTAATACTTATCAGTATCCAGATAACAGGACATAATCCTTTTCTTTATAGTGTAGTATCTGGAAATGAGAAGTCAAATTCATTAAAAATTATAATGCAGAATGGAAAGTTAAAAAAATTCCTTGTGGTTTGAAGTAACTTATTTAATTAAAACTGAAGCAATAAAAGTTTATAACATAATACACTTACTTTTCCAGACAAACCCTTTTTGCTAGTGCAGATACTGCTTATGTTTTGGCATATTCAATTATCATGTTGACCACAGACCTTCATAGTCCACAGGTATGTTTTCCTCTTATGTCAGTTTTGTAACTAGTGAAAATTTAATATGTTCTTTGAATTCAGTAATTACTAATTGAGAAGTTAATGTTATGTAAGTCGAAGCAGTTACTGTATTAAGAAGTGAGAAACATTTTACAAATATAATACCTGTAATCTAATTAGATTTTTTGAGTACTGTGAATATTTTAATAACTAATTCATCATTAAAAGTGAGGTACATTTTTATTTGTCTTCTTCAATTTACTTTTTTCTTTCTCATTCATTTTAAAATTGTTATTATAAAGATGATTTTTTGCGGGGGGGGCGGGTTTACACTTACATAAGTCAGATAAAGAGTACATTTCTTTCTGAACAGTGTCAACCCTTCCTCACTTTCTCCTAGTTTTTCCCTCCAATCCTCACTCACAGGTTGTATAGTTCATATTTAACATAGTGTTTAGTGTGTACCACTGCTGCATTTGTTTGTTCACCCTTTGTTCCTGTGTCTTACCCTTTCTGTGCCCCCCCCCCCGCACCTTCCTAAAGACAGATAATCAAACAAATAAGGCAAAAAGAAAAGAAAACAAAAATAGCAACAAAGGGAAAAAACCTTGTTTCCATTTCCTGGAGTTCTTTCCATAAATACTATTTTATATGATCAGATGCACATAGGTATTGTGCCTTGTGTTCTAATTAGATTATTATTTTTTATTCTTTGGTGGTGCTGGGAATCAAACCTAGTAAGGCAGATACTCTACCACAGAGCTACAGCCCTAGCTAATTAACTACATTTTTAAGCATCTGTAGAATATAGAATACTGGTCAGTCTCATGATTAACAGTTGTGCAAAGCTTAAGATAAATTTAAATATAAAATACCTTTTGGATATATTTGCCACATATAAATACACTGTACATAAATCACTAAGAAATATTTCACCAGTAGAGACATTAGTATCATACAAGTTACCCAGCCTCTATAGGTACAAGTATATGGCCAATTTTGTTCATTCTGCTTCTTTTCTCTCCCAAATAATTCCTTCTTGAATATTGAAGAACTATCATTTGATTTCAGATATCTACAGAAATTTTTTAAGCTCTTAGGGTTGTTTTTTTTTTTTGCTTAATTTTTGAGTAACATACTTTGATATCTTTGAATAAAATTACTTTCATAAGCTATTTCCAAGAATTCCTTAGTATTTCTAGGAGAAATCATCTATTGATATTTATCCTTAGGATATAAGTTAGATCTAAGATATAATAGAACATTGAAATTTATTTTCAGATTAAGGTTAAACTTTTCAGTGTAGGGATGTGTGTGTGTGTGTGTGTGTGTGTGTGTGTGTGTGTGTGTGTGTGTTTTGATATGTTTAAGGTAGATGGGCATGGAAAATATACAACAAGATGGAAGCATTAGTTTCTCTCATTTAAAAATACCAGAATGAAACAGCTATGAATACCAAAGGTTTACTGGGTTTTATAGATACCATTTTATTAAAAATAATATTTTTTTTGGATCATTTAAGTTTTCCTTTGGCAGGGCTAGAGGAGTGACTCTCTAGTGGCCAAGTGTCTTCCCAGGAAGCACTTGGCCCTAAGGTCAATGCTTAGTATTACAAAACAACAACAACAAATCTTTGGCATGTTACTGGTATTATATTTAAAGCAGCTCATGCTCAGGGTTTTTGTTAATAAACATTATTACTTTTTTCCTTTTTTTTGTTGGTCATGGGCTTGAACTCTGGACTTTGGCGCTATCCCTCAGCTCTTCAGCTCAAGGCGAGCATTCTACCGTTTGAGCCACACACCGCACCACTTCCGGTTTCTAGTGGTTTATTGGAGATAAGAGTTGCACGGAGTTGCCTGCCTGGGCTGGCTTTGAAAAGTTTGAACCAGTTTGTAACCTGGAATATAACTGCTTTTGTCTTTATACACTTTTTATACTTTTTAAAAAGAATTTGTTTTTATAAATAAGCAACATCATTTGCAGCTTGCCACATCTTCCTACACACACACACATACACACACGTTATTTAGAGAAATACTGAAGTTTTCTTTTATACTTTTTCATTAGTATTCAAGATGGTTAAGTTTCTGAACACAATCTACTAGGAAGCATTATATTCAAAACAGTGTCTGGTCCTCAGGGCAAAAGCTCCTGTCCATGAAACATGTACTTGGGATCAGGCTGGCAGTGGGCAAACATTTGAGATATATTTATAACACATTTTTTGTGTATATACATTAATCTTTATCATTCATGAAAAACAGCTTTACAGGATTCAAACCCTGATCTGGGCAGCTTAGTTTGAACATATCAGAATTGAATTCAAGAGTGGAGTATTCCATAAAAGATACAAGAAGTAAAGTAGAATTGTCTACAGTGTCTAGAATCTCAGCTTCTAGAAGCCTATATTCAGATGCACAGTGGCTTTCCTGGTACTTAAGATTTCCTTTCAAGATTTGTTTCTGCCTCAATTTGTTTGAGTCAAGTGATGTTAAAACATTTTGCCATGCTTAAAATTTTCCGGTGATTTTAATTTTCTTGTTATTAGGCAACATTTATGTTTATTTACTTAGTCGTTCCTGGTCCTTTTTTTATACCTTTTAGTGTTGTGATAAGATACATTTTTAAAATTATAATATGCCAGAGTTTTATTGTCTTAATAATGAAGTTTCCTATGAAAAAAGTTTCATAGTAATATTTTTATAAAGTTTTCCAGGAAAAGTCCTTTGGTCCTTTGACACATTAGAAAGATGCTACTTGCAGAGTAATATGAAGTCAAGTACTTGTGTTCTAATTATATCCTCAAAGCTTAATTACTTTTGCAAGTTTTTGATTATTTGAGTATTGTTCTTTGTCCTTTGTACATTTCACGTTTCTTCTTTAGGCCCGATTTTAAGTTTTTATGAAAGGTAGTAAGAATATATTTAATAGGTATCTCTGCAGAGATATAAGTCTGGATTTTCTCTATTTGAATTTTTAGAAGTACAGCATAAACATTTTGTAGTGCTATAATGCAGTACTATATTTTGCAGGTTTATAATGAGGCTACCATCTTGCAGATTAAGTAGAACATTCTTGTTGAGGATATTCTTGAATAAGACAAAGGATACTTTACACAGATTCATTACGATGATAACTCAGTCAGAGACTGTTACTTGGTTTTTAGTGTCAACTATTGCTATTTTTGCATCCACTCTTCTAGAAAATTTGCTCTTAATAACATTTATGGTTTTCTGAGCTAGTTTTAAATTTTTTGATTGTGTGTTTCCAAAAGTTGTTGTGGCCTATTAAATAAACTACTAGCACTCTTAAATCTTGGGCAAAAACAATGATCTAGTCTCTCTTTTTATTGCATACTGCTCATTTCCATATCTGCACATGGACAAGGTACATTATAACATTCTAGAATGGGTCTTTTCTATTACTTTTACTTCTATGAATTTATATATATATAATGTATATATATATATACCTATATGTATGACATGACATTTTCTGCTTCAGCCATCAGATTATAACTTTAAAAAAGTACTTGTGCTGGGTGCTGATGGCTGATGCCTGTAACCCTAGCTACTCAGGAGGCTGAGATCTGAGGATTGTGGTAGAAAGCCATCCCGGGCAAGACAGTTTGTAAGACTCCAATCTACAATTACCCACCAGAAAACTGGAGATGGCACTGTGGCTCAAAGTGGTAGAGCACTAGACTTGAGCAAAAATGCTCAGGACAGTGCCCAGGCTCCACATTCAAGCCCTATCCATGACTGATCCCCTCCCCCCCCCAAAAAAAACTTGTATTTTAAAATGAGTGAAAATTTTATGTTAACTTTTGGGAATTATAAATTGTTTTTCATATTTAGGTTAAAAACAAAATGACAAAGGAACAGTATATTAAAATGAATAGAGGTATCAATGATAGTAAAGACCTTCCTGAAGAATATCTGTCAGCCATCTATAATGAAATAGCTGGGAAAAAGATATCAATGAAAGAAACAAAAGAACTAACAATCCCTACAAAATCAACTAAGCAAAGTAAGTATCCAGATCAATCAATCCTGATTATTCAGGGGAGAATCATGAGAGTTTTAATTTTTTTGGTTTTTTGGTATTTTTGTTGTTTTGTTTGTTTATGTAGTCCAGGCTTGCCTGAAATTCCTAATCATCTTGTTGCAGCCTCCCAAGTGCTAAGAGTATACATTTGTGCCACAATGCCTGGCTTAAAACATGAGTTCTTAAGGGAATTTTGTTTCCTTGATTTAAAATAAAGTAACCCTATGAAAGTATGGCAGAGAACTATGTTTTTATGAGAAGTAGTGTAATATAGAATTTAGTGATACAAAATGTTTTCACATCCTGACCACTTAAGAATACTAAATAATTTGTCTGTGCTAGTGTAAATTTAAGTATGTAGTTGACCAATTTAGCAGTTCATCTCAGCAAGGATTTTGAAGTCAAAGAGATGGACTAGACCACTCTTTATTCTTTATTCTGCCTCATCATCATCTACAAATAATGTCTTTTTATATATTGTTTCCCATAAAGGGAAGATGGAAGAGATAGGGAAGATTAACATTATTGGAGTGACTTCTCCAGTCAAATTATGACACTATTGAAGCTATATTTTACCTGCCCAGCTTCATTCTGGACATTGTAGAAAATAGTGATTAAATTAGAGCTAAAATCTGTCTTCAGGACATTGTTGGTTCTATGAGGATAATAGCTTATAAATAACTATAGTATATAAAAAAGACTAATGCCTTTCTGAGTACTTCTACTTGGAAGTGAAATCTCAAGCTTGAACACATTGCAGTAGCCACAAGATACTTCAATAGAGTGAGGAGCAGTACTGAACTTTCTAGGCAGGTACTCTACCACTTGAGTCACATTGCCAGCCCTTTTTTCCTCTAGTTATTTTTGGGTCTCACATTTTTGCTCAGAGCTGGCCTCAGACTGTAATCCTCTTATCTCTGCCTTCTGAGTAGCTGCGATTCCTGGTATATGCTACCATGCCTAGCACTATTTTTGACACAGAAGCAATAAGGTCTATATGACATGTACGTGTTTTTAAAAGCTGAAGAACTATGAGAGTCATGGGGTTAGGAAGGTACTATCAGAAAGAATAATATGTAACTTATTCCTTATCTTTTGGGATACTGTGGAAAATTAGCTTTAGAGAATTTAAATGATTATCTTTCATTTTATATGTAAGAGAACTCTAGACCCAGAGAGATTAGGAAAGAGAATCAGAACTTTTGAGGTGAATGTAGTATAAAAATTTTTATTTAATCTTTACTATCCCTAAAAAAACTCCAAAAGGAGTAAATGGCAAAGCTAAATTTTAAGTTAGGTATCCTTAGGTTCTAGTTTCAATCCAATATCAATCAGAAGTTTATATGATGGTATATTTTTATCTCTGATTATAACATGTATTAATCAAGCCTTCATTCTTATGTCTCAGTAACTGTTTATTCTCACTTGACTTTCTTCCTCTTGCCTGTAACATCCTTACTTCTTTTCTCTGACTTTTTTAATATATGATAGTAGAAAACCAATGAAAAAGGAAAATGGTATGAAAAGTAGTGGTAATATGCTAAAAAGATTGTAATACTTTGGAGTATTTTATTCATATACATACTTATATGCTGACTTGGGAAATGTAATTCAAGCATATGTGATATAAGAATTTCATTGTTTTTAACTTCTCTCTGCTGTTCCTATCCCCACTTAAGTGGTTTCCCTAATACTTTGTGACAGTTGTACTTGCTTCTTTCCTTTTTCACGGGTTTTCAGTAACTTCTGATATGTAATCTAAGTTGTACTCCCTGCCTTTCCCTTCCTTCCCCTTCCTTTCCCCTTCCCTTCCCTTCACTTGTTTTTAATTTGAGGTGAAATTTACCATTTTAAAGTTAAAAATTCAGCCCCGTAGTATTGTACTTGCTTCTCATGCTTTAAGGCCCTGAGTTGATTCCCAGCACCACAAATAAATACATATGAACAATTCTTTTGGCATGTATACATTATATATTCACTGTGTTGTACAGCCACCACCTCTGGCTAGGTTCAAAATTATGTTGTTACCTCAAATTAAAACCCCAAATGCATTACTCAGTTACTCCCCATTCCCTTTCCCTCTAGATCCTAACCATAACTAGTCTACTTTATGTTTCTATGGAGTCATATATTCTGGATATTTCATGTGAGTAGAGTCATACACATGTGACTTTTCTACGTTTTTGGTTTTTTTGGGGGGGCCTGAACTCTGGGCCTGGGCGCTGTCCCTCAGCTCTTCAGCTCAAGGCTAGCGCTCTACCACTTGAGCCACAACACCACTTCTGGCTTTTTTCTTTTTGCTTATGTGGTGCTGAGGAATCGAACCCAGGGCCTCAGGCATGCAAGGCAAGCACTCTACCACTGATCCACCTTCCCAGCCCCTTTACTTTGTTTTTTAAAACTTTTTAATTAGTGCTAATTACTGGTATTTAATAGTAAAACATCAAAATAGTGTCTTAAATTGTTTCTATTTTAGATACTAACAGTCTTTTTTTATTTCAGATGTAGCCAGTGAAAAACAAAGAAGACTTCTTTATAACTTAGAAATGGAACAGATGGCCAAGACAGCTAAAGCACTAATGGAGGCTGTGAGCCATGTTCAGGCACCTTTTACAAGTGCAACACATTTGGAGCATGTGAGGCCTATGTTTAAGGTTAGAATTACTAGTAACTTTTGCTGTAGTATGTATATTAATATGTAGTTTTACTCTGCATGTTTTTTTTATTTTTTAAGGAAGTATAGCACATTCAGTATGGGAGATTATAGCCATGTTATTTGTGGCTTAGTTGGTACAAATTTTGTCTTCATTAAAGAAAGTAAAAGGAGTTGTGTACTGTAAGTAACTAATATAGTGTAATCTTAGGGATTAGAAAGGTTTTGGAGAATAATCATTAGTCCTTGGCTTGTTTTTCTTTCTTGTAATGAATTATATCTAAAATTTAGGATTAACTCTGATTTCAAAGTGGTCTTGAAGCTTGTGCTGTCAGAGCTAGCTCTAGTCTAGGACTTAATAATATGATAGTTATTGTAGACCTGGAGCCTAGAAACCAGGTTAAGACACAAATGGAACTTTTATTTGTATTTGTGGCTAATTTAGTAGAAATGATTCTCATTTGTTCTTTGAAATTGGATTTTCAGTTATTTCTTCATTCTGTTCCTTTTTCTTTGTCCATTCTCCAAATTTCAGAATAAGTAACAGTGTTTTATAAGGGTTCTAAAGAAGTTCTAAAGAGAATCAAGTCAAATTTGAAAGGGGACAGGTTTGGGAGACTGAAAATTACAGTTCAAGATCTCTTCTGATTCTACCTGCACATGTATGTAGATAGGGAAAGGTAACTGCAAGATTACTCTGCTTCTGTTTAATTCTAAAGATGTATAATTTTGCCCTACTTCTTCAAGATCTGCTTGTTAAAATGTTCCTTAAAAAATTGGTGAATTAGAGGCTGTGAAGGTGTCTCAGTGGTAGAGTGCTTGCCTTGTGTACATGAGGCTGTGGGTTCAATTCCTCAGTACCACATAAGCAGAAAATGCGGGAAGTGGTGCTGTGGCTCAAGTGGTAGAGCTCTAGCCTTGAGCTGAAGAGCTGAGGGACAATGCCCAGGCCCAGAGTTCAGACCCCATAACCAACAAAAAAAATAAAATAAAAAATAAAAAAAGGCTGGGTACCCGTTGCTCATACCTGCAATCCTAGCTACTGAGGAGGCTGAGATCTGAGGATCACGGTTCAAAGCCAGCCCGGACAGGAAAGTCCGTGAGACTCTTATCTCCAATAAAACCAGTAGAAAACCGGAAGTGGTGCTGTGGCTCAAGCGGTACAGTGCTCACCTTGAGCTGAAGAGCACAGGGACAGCGCCCACGCCCAGAGTTCAAGCCCCACAACTGACCCCCTCCAAAAAAAAAAAAAAATGGTGAATTAAGGAATAAGTGAGGGAGCTAGGGATGAAGCTGGAATGTAGAATGTAGCTGGTTTTATCTTTGGTAAAACACAGAAAATGATGTAGAATTTTAGAATTCTATAAAATGACTTTTTCCTTTTTTATAATAATCTCAGATTCATTTTCAACAAAATGACAAAACTATAATTCTGTTGCTAGAGAAAAAAGTTATTGCTATATACTACTTTTCTATCTTCATCAGTATGATCATCTCAAGTAAAAAATTTTGTTTCTTGATGTTTCTCATCCCATTTCATTAAAAATTCTTCATACAGTTTTTATGTTCTAATCTCTAGATTATCTCTCGTTTACTTAAAATTCTTCAACCAGGCAATGGTGGCTCAAGCCTGTAATTATGCTACTCAGGAGAGGCAGAGATCGGAGGATTATGGTTTGAAGCCAGCCCAGGCAGGAGAATAAGACTCTTATCTCTGATAAACTACTAAAAAGGCTGGATGTGGAGCTATGGCTACAATGGTAGAGTGTTAGTCTTCAGCCAAAGAAGCTCAGGGACAGTGCTCAGACCCTGAATTCAAATTCCCAGGACCAGTACAAATTCAATCTTCAAGCTAGATTTAAGAAATATTTCTTCTCATAACCATTTCTACTAACTATTACTCCCAGACTTTTTTTTTTTTGTTGGTTGTGGGGCCTGAACTCTGGGCCTGGACATTTTCCCTCAGCTCTTCAGCTCAAGGCTAG